AAGTTTTAAAATGTATATTATATTACCATCTAGATATCTTGTTCCATAAGCACATTCTGGAAATATTCCTCTCAAATATGTGATGCAGGATACTGAAACTGCTAGGAGCCTCTTCACTAACACCAAAGACTGTTGCTCAGTTGATATCTTATTGGGAAATGCCAATGCACTCTAAAATTCAAGAGAAATTAAAACATTTTATTTATATTTATTCAAAATAAAGTTTCCCTTTAGACATACATACATGCTAGAATAAAAGAAAAAAAATAAAGTTTCCTTGGACTTAAAGTAGATCCAATTTTGCATAAGCATGACATTAAGACTCTGCAGAGAATTCCTCCCCATGTAGGGTAGTAATCCCTGGAAAGTCAGGGTGGCTTCTAAAACGTGAAGGTGTTTTTATAATAATCACCTAAAAGAAACATGCAAAAAGTACTTAAAAATCTTAAGAATCCTCTTGCAAATTAATAATTAAAGAATCCTCTTTGCAAATCCTCTATAAATGCATAATACAAGGATAGATACACATTGATTTTCTCTTTGGTCACTGACTAGGTTTAGCCGTAAGATCCTATGCAAAGATGACAAATTTATTTTTGTCTCTGGGTCACGAACATTCATTTTCTAGAGGTAGACTGCCATGGACAATAATTTTGTCAAAGCAACATAACAGTATTCATTAATATCTAATGTAAATTAAATTTGAACCAGCAATTTAATACAATGCAGGAAACATCCAATAGAAATCGCATTAATCCAAAATAGTTTAATGAATATCTTCATTTCTTAAAACATGGAATTTCTTGGTATCATTAAACTCTCGAACAGTTGACTCTAACTTCCAAATAAAAAAAAAGTAGTTCAGACTTCAAGAAACAATAAAATCAGCTAAGTTAAAATATATTAAAATACAAGAAATCATACCATGGAAGTCCTCTGCAACTGTGCAATGGCCATCTTCTTCTGATAAAGTATTTTCTTTAATTCAACCTTGTGACACAAATACAAGCTTTAACTTTAGCTCTTATTAACTTTAGATCTGCTTTTTATCTTTAACATTCTAGTTTACTACATATAAAATTGGAAAGAATTTTATGT